GTCAATTTAATCAGTGCTATGTCCCCACCTACGGGGTCTGCAGTGAATCCCCTGAAAAACGAATGAATTATGAGATTGTTCCCTATGTTGAGCTGAAATTGACTTACGGATAGATGTATATGCGATCTACTAGATCAAGGCCATTGTCTTTGTCCATTATAGTGAGCATCGATGTTGCATTGCCCACTCGAATCATTTGAGAGTCTTTTAAATGAACGCAATGCGCAGCAGTCAACACCAAGTTTCTCTTTATCCGAGTCCCAGTGCATTGACGACTGAAGCTCGTTCCGTTTTTAATGTAAATCGGAACCGTCCAGGGTGACAAATGAGACGATAGATTAGGTGCGTTTTTACTTATAAATGTGTATTTTGCCTCAATGTTGCCGCAAACCTCTGTACAATAGTCCTTCAATGCTGATCTATCAGTCCAGGTGCCATCGTCTTGACATGTCACATTCAACGGATTCGGCGACTTTCGCAATCCAATTTTGCATTCGAACGTTACAACAGTTCCGGCAGGCATCATCTTCTGACAGTAAAACATAGCAAGCCTTGGATTGGAGCAGTGCGGGACTAGCGTATCGTAACACGATATTTGGGTGCCATCGCATTGATCTACGTTAAGTTTAAATAACTGTTAATTATAATACTTATTGTCTCTATTTAATCGCTTACTTTTACATTCTACATCCTCATCGAATCCTTTATTTATCCATTTTTTGTCAAGGCATTGCAATTTGGAATTCTTCACCTTAGACGGCACTAATGTGGTATTACCCTTGCAAGAAAACTCTACAATCATATTATTTATGGGCGGCCTTACTTCCTCCACACATTTGAATGGGTCGCACTTCTTTATTAGTAGATTCTCGTCATATTTGTCGATTACGCATCCATTCGTACCATTCGTGTCTTTATTGTAATTCGGTTTCTTTATGGAACATCGCGTATCATTGCGCCATTCACCCGTTATTAAGCATACATTCCATTCAGTGCCTTCCATCTTGCTACTCTTATCGTAGCACTTGAAGCGAGTTAGTTGATTTGGATATACGAAGCGATGAGTTCGGTTCTCATGGTATGCAGTTATGCCGTCGAATCGCAGGCCCTTATCTATTGGTTCCACACAGGGCTTAGGTGCATTTCCCTTCCATTCTTCATTGTATTCACAAAGAATTGGTATTTCATCGGAGCCATCAATGCAATCGAATTTGTTATCGCAACATTTACTATGGCTTATCCAGACGCCATTTGCGCATTGATAGTGGTCCTCACCAGCAATCGTCCCCATACATAGATTCGGCGACTCATCTCGCCCATCCACACAGTCGATCTTCCCGTCGCACATTTTATGCATTTCAAAGCATTCGCCTGAATAGCACTCGAATTCCCCTCTACAAAAGAAAGTGATAATATTTAAATATAGTTTTTCAAGGTTCGTCGCGCCATGGAGCTAAAAATTCCACCAGTCTTTTAAATGGGAACTAACTACATCGTATATTTGCCACTTTAGAAATGGGGGCCGGACAAGGGATTGCGAAAAATATTTAGTCTCTCGCTTTTATAAAATATTCGAATTTGATTGATTTATATAATCGCCTGTTCATTTCATCAAAGCCATTACACTACAATTGTTCACGATATTTATCAAAACTAGTTATTATGATTGTACAATTACAATCGTATTCTTAAGTTAATTTCGCGGTGTAGAGATCTTAACACTTATTTATAGAATGGGCATTACTCTATATAGCTTTCTTTCGTACTCATTACAGCCACCTCGTATGGTTGAGTTGTGAATTTCACAGTTGGCATGTTCATCCGATCCGTCGGCGCAGTCGATAACGTCGTTGCACTCTTTATAGTGAAGAATACCAGCACCGTATGCACAAGCAAAAGTCCTCGGTACATCCAAATTTTTGCACACCATGAAGGACTCATCACTGCCGTGCAGACAATCGCGTTTACCGTCACAGGCCAAGCTTAAGTCTATTTCCTGACCATTTTCTGCGCATTCAAAGGGAAACGGCGAGCCCAATGTTAATTTAATTAGGAGAAATATTACGAATATACGACCGCACATTTCATGAACCAATTCGCGCAACTGCTCCCGCTCAACTGATCTTAGCCAATTAGAGTCAACTCGGATTTTGTGCTTTGTGGTAATCAGCGCTCACTCCCTCCATCCGTTCCAGCGGTGTTCATATTCAACACTTCCGGCTGGATAGCCTAAGATTAAACATATATTTGATATACATATTTGCGCCCATTGCATTATAATATTATGAGTGTATGCGAGCGAATTAGTCACTAGGAAACAGACTACCAAATATATATATTTTTTTATATATTTACATATATACATATTATTTTTGCTTTGAGCTGACTCAATTTTTATACTCTGAACACATAGAAAATGCGAAGTCAGTGAATGTTTTTTGTTAAAATGAATACAACAGGCAGAAGGAGGCGGGGCAGTCCTGTCCGTTTGTCTGTCCGTCCGTATGTACGAACGCGTCGAAAGAAAATTGACGATTGTCTTGGACTGCCTTAGTATTCATACATAAATAATAAACGTATCACATTTGTCTTTTAGCTATTCAAATATTTTATTTTCCGCATTTACCAAACTCCAAAGATCATAAATAAATTTAAATACTTGGCAATACTTTTAATACAAATTTAATAATTATGGTTTGTTAATAATATTAAATAAAAATTAATAATCAATAAATTAAATTAAATAAATAATAAAAATATATTATAATTTGATGAGCTAAAGACCAAATTAGGACTCTATTCTAGGATGGGTAGGATTTGAAGCAAAAAAGTAAATGAATTAATAATAATAACAATAACATTTAAAATCTATCGTCTATTGAATTACGGAGTCAGTCCTCTTCGGGGAAGTCCAAGGCATTGATAAATTGTTTCAAAAATTGCCTTAAATTTTTATATGCACTCCTAAAAAATGGTTGCTGGAAAGATTATAATGACTACAATTAAAATACCTGCATTTCTATTGATTTACTTCACTCTAAATATATCTAGAGGGAATGTAGAATTATAAATCATTTTGAATTTCGTACTATACAGAGAAATTTAATCTTTTAGTGAAATGATTCGATATTACTTCTATAGCCTTCTATAGTCTGCTCACATATGAAATTTATTTCGATATATTGTTAATCCTGAGCGGCTCTATGTTGAAGCGATCGCTGAGATCCTGCAGAATGGAGACCGTGCACGGCATCAATGGCAGCCCGCCTTGATCATCCACCATTTGCATATGCTGCAATTCTTTGTCGCCTGGCAGCCATGGAGGCTGCGCCGGATCGCACGGTATGACGTTGCGCAGCAGCTGATGGAAATCAGCGAGCCTGTCCTCGAAGGAGACGCAAAAGCGCATGGGATCAATTGCTATGTAGACCTGGCCCAGGTCAGCCGGCTCCCTCTCCCAACTGAAAAGTCCGCGTCGCCGCAATTGCGATGCGTATCGGGCCCCCGTCATGACCCCGCAGAGTATATCCACCATGGCGGCCAGTCCGAAGCCCTTATGCTCGGGCGCAAAGGCCCGCAGACGCTGGGCGCGCAACGCTTCGACGATGCAGGTTGTGGGCATGCCATGGCAATTGAGCGCCACATTGTCGGGCAGGTCGTGCAAATACCCATTGGAGTACTCCAGCTCCAGCTGCTCAACGGGATAGGCGGACGTGCCCACTTCCATGAGGAGCTGTTCGTGTGTGCTGCCCGCCGCACAGGCAATCGAGTTTCGACCCAGCAAGGGCTCGACGCCGCCACTGGGCACCAGGGTGGCTGGCCCATTCGACATGCAGATGCCGATCATGCGATGGCACAGCGCCTGACTGGCATACCACGACTCCAGCCCAATGGAGTTGGAGTGGCATGCTGCCACATAGCCAAGCCCCTGCTTGCGGGCCTTGTCCATGGCCAAGTCCATGCAATAGTTGGCCACCACCGGCCCGGGCGCATTCTGGCCGTCCACCAGGGCCAGCGCGTCTCGCTCGCTCAGCACCTTCGGCTGCATGCGTGGGTCGATCGTAAGGTTGTGCAGGTCGACCGTGATGGCGGGCAGCTGGTGGATGCCCATGCTCCGCTGGCCCATGTAGTCGGCAGCAATTAGAGCATCGGCCATTTCGCCAGCTGCCTCATCCGGCACATCCATGGCCGCAAACACGTCACGCACAAATCGCTGCGCCTCCAGCACATCCACCAGGACCTCCCTATTCTCACGATTCGCTATGGTTGCCTGCGGCTCCCGGTATCCCCTGCACATGAGTAAAACACGCTTCAGATTCTCCCAGAGCAGGTCTGAGCCTTGCCTTCCACATCTTGGATCGGTCGTGTTGCATCTTGTCCCACTATCGTTTGCCTCGCTCACAGGCTGCCCGCCACATGGCTGCAATGTCTCTTTACTTGTGTTGGCGCTGGCTAAGCTTTCCGTGCTGGGCAGGGGCCGCACTTTTCGTAATGTATCGAGAAAGTACAGCACTTTTCGCATTGCAGTCTGAATCGTCAAAAATCAACTTCAATAATGATTAGAGCAGCACTGGGAACT